ATCACTCCTTCTTTGCTTCCTTTCTGTCTCACACACGCGTCTGTGATGCACAAAACACACTGGTAACTTGTCTGTTTAAATATCTTACACTTTCACTAGGCTGTGAACCCCTAGAAAGCAGGGTCATTGTAGTATTCAGCTTCATAGCTACTCTTCAGTCCTGTCTCACTGCCTGTCCCATGGGACACCCTCAACAGACATTAGATGAGTACATGAATCGCTTCAGGCTCTAACATGAGAATTCCTCAAGTTTGCTTTCCAGCATGTACAGCAGAGGGCACTAACAGGCCACTTAACAGATCCCCTTCACTAGGGATGATTTTTGTCCCAACCTTGTCTGATTTTGGCCTCATCCTTGAAGTCAATATTCATGTCATTCAGGTGCAGTCTCCTGTTTCCTCCCTCAGCCAAATAGCAAAGATAGCAGGATGACTCAGCAGCTTGGTCTCTGAGAAGAGGGAGGCACACACCCAGACGAAGTTGCAGTTGAGGGAACATTTTCTTTCTCTCAATTTATTCATGGTAGTTGGGGCTTTTTTTCTTTCCTTTATTTATTTTTTTTATAAGAGGACTTTATTCATGGATGGTGCCTCATTTCTTCCACTCCTTTGAAAGGGAAGAAGGGAGCTGGAGAGTCTGAGAAAAGACCATTATGATGTGGGAGGTGAGGGACAGCTGGGCAGTCCGAGCTGCTTGTGGGCAGGCAGCGCTGGCCTTCCTCCTTACGGTGGAGTGGCCTGGTGCATTTCCTGGATACCAGCACCTTCAGTTAGGTGTCTGTGTGCTCATCCAAGGCTGGCATCGCAGGGGTTCCTAACACTTGGTGCTGGGGAACCTCCAGGCTACTGGGTATGGTTTTGAACATGTGGCTGTAGGTTCCTACTTCCCAGAAAAAAAGCGGAGGAGGCATAGAAAGCCTCATCAGATAGGCAAAGTTTAGGGGCCTCTGGCTACACTTCACCCCTCCAGGGTCGCCTTTGGGCACCGGGACCTTCTTCTACACCCGCTCCAGCTAAAACCTGTTCTGTGGAAAGGATTCCAGCCAGACATCTTAAAAATCTTCCTTGTGAAACTAGATCAAAGACTGGGAATTTTGGAACTTGGAGGTAATTTCATAGATCATTTGCGTGTTCTCTCATAGGACCACTTGGGCCCTAACCCCTACTCTTTCACAGTAGGCAGAGCTGTACTATATAAGGGAAAAAATACAGACTTTGCAGTTAGACTTACATGGATTCAAATCCTGCCATTCAGAGACCAGCTATGTCTTTGGGCAAGTATTTTAACCTCTTTGAATCTCAGTTTCCTCATCCTGAGCTGGAGATATTAATGCTTATCATGAAGAGTTGTCTTGAGCATTAGAAAAGATACATGTAAAGAACCTTGCACTGTGTAGCTGGCACAGTGTAGATGCTCAGTTGATAACATGGTAGCATGAAACTATTTCTGCTAAAGGGATTTTAGACTATGAGGAAGCCAGTTGGGGGAGGATTGGAGGACTCTATCTGTATCTAAAGGTATATTTCCGAGGGCTTTTGGGGTTGAGCTATGCTTGCAATAGCACTCTGATTAATTTGATGAAAACATGGGAACACAACACATCAGTATAGCTATTTATCTGTGAATTATTTTTTGGCACCTAGGTCCTGAACCTCCTAGGCTGTGAGCGAATTGTATATATAGAGAAAGCCAAGAGCACTTTTCCTTAGCTTCTGGAACCTTCTCATGACATTGAGGGTTTTTTGTTCAGGTTTTTTTAACCACCCAAGGCACTTTGCCACTTTTCTGAAGTGTGAATTGCCTGCTGTCAGCCTGGAGTTCTCACCTCCGCAATCCTGGCTGCAGGCATATTTGCATATTGGATGCTGCATTCTTTAACCCCGTGAGGTTTGAATCCACTTGGAGTCCGTGTGTGTGTGTGTGTGTGTGTGTGTGTGTGTGTGTGTGTGTACACGATGTACATGTGAAAGCTGGCTACTTTCAAACCCCAGGACAGTTTCAGCTCCGTGGTCTCTAGAAAAACAGAAAATCTCCAACAATAGCTCCATTGATTTTTATGTAAATGGCACCCTTCAGGAAAACGCTGGGCTATTTCCCAAAGTCCCAGAACACACCCTGAGCATTTGTTTGAGCGGGAGGTGGGAGAGCGTTCTGTTGAGTCAATGAACATCTGTTGAGAGCTGCTGTGCTCGGTCCCAAGGAGACAGAGCTCATCGTCTGACTCTTCCCTGCCAGAGGTACAGACTGACTTACCGTACTGGGTATGCATACTTGTGGTGGCTTTGTACTGTGTCCACTTAGCTAGGGTGGAACTAAGTTTCCCAGGATTCCCTTCATATAACTTCCAGGTTAGAGGTGACCTCAAGAAAATTTTGTGTGAGATCTGGAAAGCTGAAGTGAAGGAGCAGCCAGTACGCTATGAAGGACAGAGCAGCTACCAGGCGTGGCGCGGTGCATGCCTTGTGACACTGATCTGCTGGCTTGCCTTCTTGGTGCAGGACAGCACCCAGGCGTGCAGCTCCCCAACTCCTTCTGAATCTCCTCCTTCAGCTACTCTGAGTCTTGGGCCAAGTGTACACTCAGCTCTGTGGCAAAGGGCTTCAGCTTCTCCTGCAAGTCACCTGCATCACTGAGCTTGGAGATGGTGAAAGGAAATCGCAAGTTTCAGTTTGTCCTCGTGGGTTCCAGTTGTCCTGTGGGTCCCGATTTGTTCTCACGGGTTTCAGTTTTCCTTGCTCTCTTCCACTTCACATCCAGCTTTCCTTCCTAACTTCTGGCCTTGCTGACCTATAGAGGCTTCAGGCCCAACACCAGATGCAGAGTCGACAGTGTTGCATGGATTTCTCCATCAACTTCCATAATTGCACAATGCCTAATCCCTATACTAAATCCTTAATTTTCTAGTGCCCCTAGTGTTCTGCTTCTCTGATCAAACCCTATAATAGAAGTTTATTCATGCCTTTTTTAAAGGCCCAGTAGGTGGAGTGATTAGAAGCCAGACGCTTCACAGAAGAAGAGACATCTGAGCTGCTTCTACAAGGATGAGTAAGAAATTGTATGTATGACGATGGAGGGAGAAATTCTAGAGCACAGCCGGCTCAAGCCAGGCAATTGAAAGGGCAAATAGGAGTTCTCCCTTTCTAGAGCAACTGTCCTTTCCATGGGTCTAGAGCATAGGTAGAAAGAGAACATCTGATCCTAGCTCTTCTGGTCCCATCAAGGTGAACTGTTGGTCAGTCTGGTTCTCAGATGTGGTCACCCCTGCCCATTGGTATCTGCTGAGATACATTTTTGCTAGGGTGCACCCTTGTTACTACCCTAAGCTCCCTCCCCGTAGGAAAATATTGGCCTGCTCCCCTCTCCCCAGTGGCTCCACATGGCCCCCCTCCGCCTGTCTTTCTTGGCCCCCATGCAGGCATCTTTGTTTCCCCATGCTGTATTGGTGATGGCAGTGATGTGGAGGAATGCTCTGGGGCTTCCTGTCCTAGGTGGGGCACTGTGCCCTCTAGTCTTGGATCCCTAAACTTACCTAGGAGTTCCAACATTCATTCCATGGGACTCCACCTGAGGCAGGGGCAAGATGTCCTACAACAATAACTTGCCAATACTTTCTGAGCATCCTGATAGGGGGGCTTGGGCTCAGGTACCTGTTTCTGCCTGAACCTGGACCAGTAATTTGAAATCTTTGTTCACCCATTCTCTGGTGACAGGATGCTTCCTTCTGGCTTCCAGAATGGGGAAAGTTCTCGGCATAAATAGGAAACCCGGAAAACAGAACACGATGTTTAATAAAAGCCTTCTACCAGTTTACAAATGAATTTTTAAACTCAAGAATGATCACATTATACATACTATGCTGAACAATACTTTTTTCCCCTTAGTATGTCTGTGAAAATCTTTTTACAAGCAGCACATTTGGCTCTACCTAATTTTTTTAAATGGTTTCATAATATTCCATCCTATAGATACACTGTACTTTACTTGACCATTCCCATATTGATGGATATTTGTTTCTGCCTTTTTGTCTTTTCAATATTGCAAACAAGGTTGCCATGAACATCCTTGTACGCGCATCTTAAACAGGTGTTTCTGTATGTTGGAGTGCTTCGATATGGAATTCCTGGGTCTAAAGGAATGTGCATTCTATGTTTTGATAATTATTACCAAATTGCCCTTGTAAGGGGATGTGCTAATGTACTCTCCCACCAACAGTATATGAAAGCACAGACCATTTCAAAAATCCCTTTTGAGATTATTTTGAATGTTTAAAAACTCTCCTTAGAGGTTTGGAAAGGTCATAGTGTTGGGTGTGTATGGTTTTTTGGTAAGGAACCGCTATTCCCTGCAGCAACAACACCATCCATTGGCAGTTCGGAGAATTGCCCTGGAACCTGTTTCAGTTTGGGTCTGAGTTTTATGCCTTTGACAGATGCAAGCTCATCTTGCTTGAGCACCAGCAAGGAGGCCGTGGAGACTATCAACTCCTCCTCCAGCTACCCTCTCTGCATCAGCTCTGCCATCCATGAGGACCAGCTCCTTCTTTGGTCCTGGAATCTTACAGAAGAGGCCCTGCTGACTTGGGCCTCTTCCTGCATGGGCCACTCTCCCAGGCCTTCGCTGCATGTGAGACACCTGTCTTTCTTTCAGTTCTGCCATCCCACCTCAGGACCTTTGTCCATACTGTTCCCTCCAGCTGGAGCATGCTTCCTCTCTTCTTTCCCTTTGCTGACTTACCTTTTACTCATCCTCTACTTCTCTGCTCAAACATCCCTTCTTCCAGGAAGGCTTCCTTGATCCCTCATATGAGGTCAGGTTACCTATCACACATTTTTCCTTTGCAGCACATCTTTATGGGCAATTATTTTTTAATTTGCTTAATTATTTGATTAAAATCTGGCTCTCCTACTAGAATATAAACTCCATGAGGGCAAAAGCCTAGAGTGGTACTTAGTACATGGTGGGAGCTCAATAAAATTTGTTGAATGAACAAGTGACAGAAGTTTTTCTTTAGCAGGGACTAAAAAAATTTAGTTTTTATTGTATTGCTGATTATAAAATTAATAAATGATCTCTGTGAATTTCCAGACAATACAGAAATATATGGAGTAGAAAATGAAAGTCTTCCCATAATCTCATCTTCCAGAAAACACTGTTAATGACATGTATCCTTCCAGACATTATTCTATGCATATTGAAATCTATTGAGTGCTCGTTACATGCCAGGCACTGTTCTAAAGCACTTTACAAAAGTTAAGCCACATAATCCTCACAGCAGCCCTTTGAGGTAGAACTGTTATTATCCTGTCTCACAGACGAGGAAACTGAGACTTAGGAGCTAATCACACAGTGAAGAAGTGGCAGAGCCCCAACTTGAACCAGAGTCCAGATTCGTGCTCTTGGCCACTGTGCTAGTTTGCCTCTGATGGGGTGGAGAAGAGGCTTTCTACTATATATGCTCTTTTGTACTTTGAATTTTGAACCATGTGAATTGTGTAACATTCCAAAACAAGGATTAAAGGCTAAAAAAAATCAATAACAAAAAAGTTTTTGGTACACCAAGCTACTCTGGAAGTGACCCCTGTGAGCCGTCAGAAACCACATTGTGGGGGTCTTTGCTCCAGAATCAGGTGGGAGGCTGAGGGAAATGGGAATGTGGATTTGATGATACTGTTCTACTGCATCTCTCCCATTCCCAGCAAATCCCCAGCTTCAGCGGTTTGCTTTTGAGGATCTCCAGTCTCTTAACACACACACACACCAGCCTTGTGTTTTAGCGGGGAGACCTGGAGGAGCCGGGATAGAGCCACACTGACAGGGTAGGGACCAGGGTCCTGCAGTTACAAAGGCTCGTCCCTGATTCCTGGTTAATCCCCATTAGTCCTTGGCATGCTGCCTTTTTCTGTAGGCGATGAGGTCACTGTTAGCTGGTCCGTGCCACTCCCGAGCACCAGAGTGCTGCCCTCCAGTGTGGAGCTTCCTGTTTTCTGTAACTTCCCAATGTCCCACATCTTCTTTGTTAAGTCCTCAGATAGACCATGGCCCTGAGAGCATGTGGGTTGATCATCTTCCGAAGACGCCTCATTCCCAAGGTGGACAACACTGCAATTGAGTTTCTACTGCTGCAGGCGTCGGATGGCATCCATCACTGGACTCCTCCCAAAGGTGTGAGGCCAGAGGGGCTGGCTCTTGGGGAAATGCCAAGCATTGCTCAGAAATCCGCCCTGCCAGGCCCCCACAAGGCTTGTTTCCCAGTGACTGTGCAGCAGGAGCGGGTGGGGTGGGAGGAGCCCTTCATCCTTTCTACATCAAGGTCTCCATGCCTGGCCAGAGCAGAGCTGGAAATAGAACTCTGTGACTGAGTCCCAGGGCAGAGGCAGCACCTGTTTCTTTTTTGTTCATATCATTCATCAGAGCGCCAGCCTCTGTGGCAAATGGCTGAGTAGGAGAAAAGGCACTGGGCTGTGAGTTGGGGACCTTGAAGTTGAGTCGTTACTGGGCTACAGGTCAGGAGCCCACAGTGAACAGCTTGCAGACAGAAGGTAGCAGGGACTCTAAAGGGGAATGGGGTGGGAGGGGGGTAAGCAAGGATCCAGGTTTAGAGGAAAACAAGGAAATGGGAACAGGAAGTAAATTTTGCACATTTGAGTTTTCACTTGGGAGAAACAAGGTGAAAAAAAGGGACAGAAGTGTCACAATACTATGAATAGGAATATTCACACTTGACTCCTGATTACCTAAGTCACACTGCATGGTACCACTCATTGAAAAATTTCAAAAGACCTCTCCGAATTTTTTCTTGCTTGGGCCCAAGGGATAAGTTTCCCTGTTGACATTGGTGAGCAGAATGCTGAGTAGATGCTATTGGGAGGGGTGTGCTCAGAGCCTCCCACATGCTTCTGAGGGAAGGTGGGGCATCCTGGATCAGCGTGCCTCTCTCATACCAGCATCCCTCCCATCTTCTTCCCCCAATGCATTACCTACCTGTCTTTGTGTACATGGCTACATGAGGTGCTATATAGAGGAAATGCCCCAGAAGCCATGAGCTAGAATGGATTTTTACGTCCACACTCCTGGTGCTTTTGATGAGAGCTGTGCAGCAGCAGGTGACTCAGGGCACTGCTCTGAGGATCCCTGGGAAGGAAGAGGGCTAGGATATAGCCCTGTCTCCGAACCAAGAAGAGAACAGCAAAGAATTCCTGCCCCCCATGAACCCCTGAACCAGGAGGACCCCTACCCCCCCTCACCCCAGCAACTTGCTAGAGCCATTTGTTGACAAAGACTGCCAGACCCCTCCCAGTCCTTTTTGGCCCCTCTGGGCAGGCTAAGAATTTGCAAGGAGGGCCTCGAGGCAAAGTCGAAGGCTGCTCCCAGTCTGCAGAGCTTCAAGTTCTCCTATAACAGTTTCCTGGCAACTCTCTGCTCAGGTTTGGGTCTTGCCAACAAATTTTCTTAGAACTGGCTCTTAGCTTGTCCGTAGTCTAAGTTCCCATCAGGACTTTCCCTGTGAAACTAGAATCTGGCCTTGCTCAGTTAGAAAGATGAAAACAATTTGGAAAAGCCTTGATAGCTACTTGGAAGCAGCTGCTGGTGCCGCAGCGCAGGGTTTTGAGCCTGCCTATTGGCCCTAGGACTTCAGGGACCAACTGCAGACAGTGTTAAGTCCTTACCGTGGACTGTAAGTGAAGTGCTCCCTCTTCAGCTGGCTGCCACCTGCCAAGAAGGGACTGCCCGGCCTTGGGAAAATTGCGTTAAGGTCTCCAGGGGAAAGGTCTCCCTGAGAACATGGGATGAGGAGAGCTCCAAAGAATAAGAAAGCAGAGGTCTGAGGGAGGCCAGCTCTCTCACCATTGAGGAGCAGTATTCTAGACCTGACTTGCCAAACACATGGTCTGTTTCATTCTCTACAGAGAAGATGGGGTGGGGAGGAGGGGTTTCCCAGACACTGAAGAGCCAGACACTGTCTGCCCTGCACCCCATTCCTAGGCGTGTTAGGATATTGTCAGTCTCAAGGCTCCCTTTAGCTTAGCAACACCTAGGAAAGTCACCGAAGACCTCATCTTTAAATCGTCTGACCTGGAAAGTCCAGCTTTGTTGAAGATCCTCTCTTCTTTCTCTTCCTCTTTTCTCCTAACTAGGCCATGTGGAGCCAGGAGAAAATGACTTGGAAACAGCCCTGCGGGAGACTCGGGAGGAAGCAGGCCTAGAAGCAGGCCAGCTGACCATCATTGAGGGGTTCAGAAGGGAGCTCAATTATGTGGCCAGGGAGAAGCCTAAAACCGTCGTTTACTGGCTGGCCGAGGTGAAGGACTGTGACGTGGAGATCCGCCTCTCCCACGAGCACCAAGCCTACCGCTGGCTGGGGCTGGACGAGGCCTGCCAGTTGGCTCAGTTTGAGGAGATGAAGGCAGCGCTCCAAGAAGGACACAAGTTTCTCTGCTCTACAGCAGCCTGAGTTGGCCAGAGTCATTTGCCTCAGCAGGATCCTTGAGGGCCTTCTGAGATGAACCCACCTTCAGCCCCCAGAAAGGTTGTGCTGGTCTTTGGCTCATCATAGCAAAGAACAGATAGGTTAGTGAAATCAGTTGAGGACTCCCAGAGGCAAGCAAGCAAAAATCTTAGCTGGGTGGAAAGGAAGGCAAAGGAGGAGTAAAAAAAAAATGGGCAGAACCAGTAAGTGCATCCTTATACTTTATAAATAAATTTCAAGCAGCTTATCTGTCTTCTAACCTGTTGTATTTATTTCTTGCATTCTTGCCCTTGGTGGGGGGAAGAACACTAAAGTGAATCAGAGTTCTGAGCTTAGCCAGAGGGAATCCTGTGTCCATGCGTTATACCCCAGAGAAGCTAAGGGAGGAAGTCGGAATAGGAGAGACCCAACCCTGCTAGGGGGCTCTCTTGCCTCTGAAACTCCAAGCACCCTCACCCCACCCCCACCAGTGCACCCGAGACTTTGTGACCTGTAGTGGGACAGGAGCCCAGGAACTGGGTCTCTTCTACTCACTAATGTATTTTCCCCAGCACCAGGCACATATGTTGTAGGTGCTCAGTAAATATTTCCCAAAATAATTAGAAACCCAAGGAACTTTGGGACATATCCCAGGTCACAACAGGAGAGGAGGATCAGGCAACCCTGGACCACCGGGTCAGTGACACATGCAATCCGACCTCAGCCCAGTCCTGCCACCCAGAGTCAGCATGGGCCTGGTCAGCACAACTGAGGTCCCTGGCAAGAGGCAGGCCCCAGCCTGGGGGCCCCTGCTGGGCCACGCAGCAGCTCTGTCGCACCCGTGTGCACTCCTCGCCTGTAGCTGCCTTCTTGCCTTTACAAGCCCTCATCATTGGTGTTTCTTTCTTCCCACGTGCTCCATTTGTCCGCAATTCAACTGTAAGACCCAGAGTGCAAGAGCTGGGTCTCAGCCCTCTTTTCCCTTGCTACTAGGGCTCAAGGAATGCAGGGCAGGTGTTAGATGTTACAGCCCTTCCAGGAGCTGTTAGCAGCTGGGTTCATGTGGATTTTATTAGAGGGTTGTCGCCCAATGAAGTGCAGAAGATTGGATGGGAAGGGGTATTGGCAAAGGTCAGCCTGGATTACCAGGGTCAAGAACAGCCACCCCAGAGGAAGGAGAGAGACATCGCCTAGGTCTTAAGCAGGCTTCCAGATGTTTTCAGTCAGTGGTTGTCCGTGCAGACAGGGCAAAAGCACTAGCGAACAGGATCTTGGAGCCCTGCCAGGGACAGGAGTGGTTTTATTCCTCACCCCTCTGAGCAGCACTCTGTGAAGGAGGCCTGCTGCAGGAAGTTTTTGGAGCTTAATGTTCTCTTTCCAGGCCAGCAGGGACCACATCCCACTGATTTAATAAATGCCTGCTGGGCAGTGGTGCCAAACCACAGACTAGCTGCCTCCTAACAAGGGCTGGCCGGCCCTGTGCTCTCAGCATGGGAGGCTGTGGAATCTCAAAACGCTAAGACCTTCAGATTTAGAAGGGACCTGGGAAATGACCTGGTTTTGCTGCTCATTTTCATAGCTGGGGAAATAGAGGCTGAAGAAGGTAGATAGCCCTGGCAGTTGCCCACATGTGGGGTGCTTTGAGGATGAGGTGCCAGAGTCTAAAGACTCTGCCTTAGAATATCTTATATAGCTTTGGAGTCATTCCTCTGGGCCTTACAGCGTTTTCCATTAAAACACAGGTACTTTGGAGAATGGGGTGGGGGTGGGTGCATAAATTGCATTCAGCTACTCCCTTTGCAGGAAGAATTGACAGCAGGGTGGGACGGGGGCATGTTATGGGAGGCAGATGAGGGTGAGAGAGAGTGGAGCCCAGATTGGGATGTGGCAAGTGAGCAGGCATTGTCATCATCACCACTTTGCTTCTGGCCACCTGGGCTTGTTCAAGAGCTATGAGGCTGAGACCGCAATATCCCTTCAATCTGAGGCTCTCCAAGCTCCAGAGCGTCTCCTCCTGGAAGCTCTCCCTAATAACCACCCATCCTATAAACACTGTACTGTTTCCCCACCTACACCTGAAGAGACTCCTCTTGGAGCTCCACCTGTTTCCCCCACCACCACCTCCACCACCCCAGGATGAAGTAGCATCTAATGCACTTCTTCCCACCAGGGCAATGTGAAGTGTCCCCCTCCTAGGAACATTTAGTAGAAGCTCTGGAAAACCCAAATGCCCTCTTGAACTCCAAAAGCAATACCTTAGACCCTGACAGTAAGCACTTGGTTGCTAAATCGAAGACCCAAAGGAAGGAAATTATAATGGTAGTTTTAATGGTAGAATTTCAATTGAAATACTTGTGCAGGTGTGGGACCCCAAGGGAGGTCCCAGGTTTGGGGAACAGAGGCTGACAACCATTTGTCCAGCCTGTAGCCCAACCTGTCCCTTCTTTTCTAGAGGAGAGTCTTGCCAGCTTGCTGCTGCCCCCTTGAGGCTGTGTTGTAGGTGCCTAGTGACACCTGCTCTCTGCCTTCCACCCAACGCCCCCGCCTTGACCTCCCTTTGCTTTCCTTCCTCTCCAACCCACCTCCTGCTCCAGGCTGTGTAATAGGAAGTTCTCAGCTGGACTCCCTGAGGAGGGGAAAGGGGGTCGGGAGGGACAAACAGCACAAGGATCCAGAGTATAGACGCACAACCTCTTCCTGATCTTCAGACTGGGACCTCCCAGGGATAAGGCCTCCTCCTTTGGGTTTTTTCCCATTCCTTCCCAACCCCACCTTAGCCAGACTCAGGGCTTGCCGCATAAGGCCAAGAGTTCTCCCCTCTCCTAATGGGTGAAGGAGGTCAAAGGTATAAATTTCCAGTTATAAAATAAGTAAGTCCTGGGGACATAATGTACAGCATAGTGATTATAGTTAATAATACTGTGTTACATATTTTAAAGTAGCTAGGAGAGTGGATCTTGAATGTTCTCATTACAAGAAGAGAAAAATTTTTGTAACTATGTATGGTGAAGGATGGTAACTGGATTTATTGTGGTGATCATTTTATAATATATACAAATATTGAATCATTATATTGTATACCTGAAGCTAATATCATGTGTCAATTATATCTCAGTTTAAAAAAAGAGAGAAAGTCAGCTGCTGTTTTCCCCTATATTCCATTAAAATAGCAAAGTACATTGAAAAAAAATTCTCCCCTTCCATCAAACTGTTGCAAAGATCCTTGGGCATACTGAAGTAAATGGCTAGCCTTAAGATAAAAACTAGGTTGTTCCTTGGGAGCTGGAGTGCGTGCCAGAGAGGGGAGGGTGTCAGCAGAAGTCCCACTGAGGCGGACAATGGCAGGAAAGGAAATCACCCAGTTACCGCTTGGGTTTTCTTCCAGGCTGAGTCTGGGTGGGCCTCCCTCACGCGGATGGGCTGTGCAACTGTTCCCAGAACAGAAAGTAGTATTTCTTCAAATGCTTTTCAAAATACGCTCATAAGTATGTGTGTGTGGGCAAAAGAAAGAGGTTCAGGAAGGATTCAGATCTTAGAGGCCTTGAACACCAGAGCTTGAATTTTTTTCCTAAATGACACGATTGAATTTCAGAAAGCTTTCCTCGGCTGCTCTGTGGATTGGATTAAAGGATCCAAGAGTGGGAAGAGTTAGGAGGCCACTGCGGTGATCCAGGCTGGAATTGATCGGGTCCGACGTGGAGCAGTGGCCAGGGGATGGAGAGGTTAACATTGGCCTTGGATTTGAGCAGGGGAGAGGGGACCAGTAAGCTCTGTGAGGGGAACCAGCAGAAGAGAATGCTCTGGAGCTAATCAGGGTGAGAGACACTTTACCCAAATCTGAGGGAACAAGGGCAAAGACTCTTCCAGAAAATTCACACCTTGGGCTTAGAGAGAGGGCTTGACCAGGGTTCAGCTGATTTATATGGTACAGGAAGGGAAACTGAGGCAGACTCTCAGGGCACACAGGGTCACAGAATGGGGGCATTAGGCTCAGTCCTAGATTTCCTGCAGTGGCTGCTCAGTGCCTCCTTATTACCTCTGGAGAAAGGAGTTCCCCATTCCTCCATATCAACCACCCCCACCTGCCCAGGGGTATAGACCAATGAGGAATTATGGCCATGACAAGGCTGCTGGAAGCTCCATGGAGGAAGGGCAGCCCCCCCAGGCAGACGTGTAGAGAGATAAATTTGGAATGCACAAGAGTTGCTGGCGGGGGTGGGGGGTTGGACAAGGTTGGAAGGGGCCAGAGCCCCTGGCATCCTGGGAAATAGGGTTGAGGTAGCTTCCAACCTGGTTCCGGCCCCTCCTCCATCTCTCAGACCCAGCTCTTTTTCGTGGCTCCTCTCATTCCAGCCCCTACTCCAACTTCTCACACTTCTGTTTTTGGTGTCAGTGGGGGAAGAGGAAATACTTCTTGGCTTAGAGTCAGGCCCATTGGGTGGCAGCTTCAGAGGCGCACATTTCAGCTGGCTCCCCATGCTTGGAGGTATACAGGCCAGGACTGGGCCATGCTGTTGAACGGTGGGTGAATTCTGGGTGGGAGATTCTAGGCGTCTGGATGCAGAGCACTAGGTTCCAGTCCAGTCTTCTAATCTTCCGTGTGACTTCAAGACAATGCCCTCCTCCCTCAGTGCTTCAATTTGTTCATCTGTGCTTTTGTGATTAACAAGGTCAGTGGTAGTAGAGGCCAGACTAGAAACCAGATCACAAGCCAAGGGCCAGTTTGTTGGAATTTGGCCAGACAAGGGCATTCTTTCCTTTGGCCCTGCCCCAGCACACAGTGAGTGCTCAGTGGGCGTGGTGTGCCCCGTCCCCCAACTAGGCTGAAGACACTGCTGCCTGCCCTCGGTGCCCTTCCACAGGGTACCCCTCCTCCTCCATGTCAGATTACTTAGGCCTTTTAGGTTACTTTATGCCTCTGCATGCCATCTCACACAGCACACACTGCTTGGTCTCGGGCTGTCCAGGAAAACTTTCTGCAACTATGGAATGTTCTATAATCTCCACTGTCCAATATGTTAGCCACTGGTCACACATGGCTTTAGAACACTTGAAATGTGGCTAGTGTGCCTGAAGAACTGGATTTTAAATTTTGCTCAATTTTAATTAATTTTAAAATTAAATTTAAGAAGCCCCATGTGGCTAGTGGTTACCATATTGGACAGCACAGGTTCTAGGCAGAACTTTTCTTTCTTCCTTGTTTAGAATAAGAATTGACAAGTTACCATTTATTGAGTACTCTGCCAATTTTTGCATAAGTGCTTTACCGACACTTCTCACTAATCCTAGATATTCCATTTTAAAGATGAAGAAACCAAGGTTCGAGGGGTTTGGTAAACTGGCTTCAGATTGCACAGAAAGCTGGAGGGCCATTCAAGTGTGAATTGTGCTCTCCAGCCATTTAGGGAACATTCCAGGGCCCAGGACAGTCACTCCACAGCACATGACTGGGCACCAGAGCTGGGGGAGACTCCTCATCGAGCCTCACGACTGGTAGATGCTCTTGACGAAAAGGAGAGGGAAGCTACTTCCATTTACTCCCCATCTCCTGGGGACCCAGGAGTCCTGGCTCTTGATAGCCCACCTTCAGATATGTTTTCTCTTGCCTTTCTCCTGGGCCACAGTCACCTTTGGGTCACAAACTCAGAGTTCAACTGGATACGATGTGCAGAGGTTTGGGAAGAGGGTGTCATAGGCAGGCCCAGAGGAAGCCAGTTGAGCTGGGAGCTGGGGCCGGAAAAAAATCCTTGTCTTTTTATTTATTTCTTTTTTTGCTGAGGAAGTTTCACCCTGAGCTACCATCTGTTGCCAATCTTCCTCTTTTTGCTTGAGGAAGATTGGCCCTGAGCTAACGTCTGTGCCAATCTTCCTCTATTTTGTATGTGGGTTGTGGCCACAGCACGGCCGCGGACGAATGGTACAGGTCCACGCCTGGGAACTGAACCCTGGCCGCCAAAGTGCAGCATGCTGAACTTAACCACTAGGCCATGGGGCCGGCCCCCCTTGTCCTTTTTAAGCAAGAAAATAAGATCTAGTATTATAAGAGTTACCTTTTATTGAGCACCTACTTGTGCCAGGCACTTTACATACGTCTGTGCTTATAATTCCCACAACAACCTGGGAGGTAGCATTATTATCACCATTTTACATACGAGGAAACTGAGGCTCTGTGAGGTTAAGCAGCTTGTTAGGGTCACACAGCTTGTAGATGAGTGGTAGAATCAGCACTCGAGATGGGCATCTCTGAGTGCCTCCAAACCTTCATTAGGCCTCTTCACACTGAGAAAATAGCGGGGGGTGGAGGAGTGGGCAAAGGGATGCATTCTCTAAGGGGTGAGGGACTGGCTCTGCTGTCCAACCTGTCCAGGGAAGCTGAACCCCATCCTGTCTCCCAACTCCCCACTCTGGCAAGCCACGCCTTCCCCAGACGCAGCTACAAAGTCAGGAAAAACTCACTCTGGCTGAGGTTGCAGTTCTCAGAAACGGGAAATGGCTGAAATGAATGCCCTTGCCCTGTATGTGTATCTGCAGGTGTCGATGTGCATGTGTGGCTCGTGCGCTGAAGCATGTCACTCTTGGAATAAAACCGTCGATCCCTTTTAGGCCACACCCCTGCCCACATGTGCAGGGAGTAGGCAGCTGAGGAATCTTGAAAGGACCGATTATTTCCTACCAGAGTCCCAGGGACATCACCTGGGAGGGGGCCAACTCAACAATCAAAACCTCAATTTTTTCCCTGGCCCCTCCCTCCAGGCTTACCCAGCCTCAGGGATACTGTGTTCATTCCAGAGATCCAGGGACACACGATGTCTCTCTCTCTTTGTCTCATACACAGACACACACACGCTGGTTCTTGAGTTAAGGCACCAAGTCTGGCCTGCATGGCCTTGCAAGTGCTTGCCCATCAGGCCGTGGCCTGGCTCAGGGCTGAGCCCCTGCCTACACAGGTGGGTTAGTGCAGGGTTAGGAGTCTCTTCACACACCAGGGACAACAATGATGGCTCCATGCTGAGCCCAGTCCTCCTGTCCTCCCACAGGGGACCTCCTGCCTCCTTGTCAGTTGGCCAAGCACCTCCCTCCCTTCTCCCCAGCTCAGGGAGGACCAGGTCAGCCACAGTCCAGGCCAGTGCTGGCAACTCCGGGCCTGGCTTCCAACACCAAGAACATGCCCTGTCTAAGTGGGGTGAGGGCTATTTTAGGACATTAAGGAGGATCAAGCCCCCACCTCAGAAGGACAAAGATGGCCATGGAGGTCGCCATGGAGGGCATTTTTTCTTCATGCTTTTAAAACCCAACTGTGTGTAGCAGGAAGACAGCCGACCTTCCTTGAGCTCTCACCCCCACCCCAGGGGAGAGTTTTCCCAGACTGGAGTGAGTGTGGAGGGAAAGGGGCTGTTAGGCTTGTGCATTGTTGTGGGCGGTTGCTTCAGCGCCCCCACCGCTGGCCCTATAGGATCTGGCTCGGGCACATTTACCTTAGCACCCACTTACTGGATGGTACAGAGGTGGGGATTCCTGGGGATACACGGTGTGGATGTGATGGAGGGTTAAAGGCCCGCATAAAGACTGGGGTTAGGGCTGTGGGGTTCCCGGGTTCTGGGCTGGGTCAGGATGCCCAGATAAAGTAGGCGACCTCGTCGAGGTCGACGGGGTAATCAGTGAGCAGCACGGGCGTCTTGTCAAAAAGCTCGCCTTTATAGCTGCGCCACTTGCCCGCCGGCAAGTAGACATCCCGCTCTTGCTTGCCGGGCTCCAGCACCGGCGCCACCAGCAGCGTGTCCCCGATAAGGAACTGCGAGTCGATGCGGTGCGCCGTCTCGTCCCCGGGCGCGATCCACCAGAGGGGGCGCACGATGGGGTCGCCCGTGTCGGTGACCTCACCCGCCAGCTCAAGCAACAGCGGCGCCACGAGCGAGGCCCTCAGCGCAGCGAACTTGTGCGCGATGGCCACCACTTCGGCGTCGTATTGCCAGGGTGGGACCGAGAACTGCATGGCGGGCATGAAGGCGGCCACCTCCAGCCAGCGCACGTAGAGCTCGCGCTCGGGCACACCGCCGCCACCCGCTGTGCGCTCAAGCACCGCGTTGCCACCCACCATATCCGGCAGGATGAACGGGTAGCCCAGCATGCTGACGGTGAGCACGGCGGGGATAAGCGAGCGCAGTCCCAGATCGTAGCCCCACACCGAGTCGCGGTCCACCAGGCGGAAGAAGCACGAGATGTTCTGGGACTGGTAGCCCACGCGGACCTCGGCCAGCGAGAAGAAGGGCAGCGCCATCTCGGTGTAGCGCCGGCTCCAGACGCTGGGGTCCGGCAGCGGCCTGTAGGTGCTGAAGTCCCGCGGCAGATAGCTGACCTCGCCGGCGTCGAACTTGAAAGAGGCCACGGCATAGCGCGAGCGCAGCCGCCGCAGGTGCCCCTGGAACCAGTCGCGGGCCTCGGGGCGCGTGAAGTCGAGCACGGCGCCGATGCCATTCCACCAGCGCACGAGCGCGGGCAGCCGGCCGGTGGGCTCGCGCACGAACAGCTCGCGCTCTACGCCCTCGCCGAAGCACGACGAGTTGTAGTTGACGAACGGGTGCACCCAGAGCGTGACGCGAAAGCCGGCGTCGCGCAGGCGGCGGAACATGTCGCTGGCGTTGGGGAACTTGGCCTCGTCGAAGTCGAAGTCGCCGTAGGCAGGTGTGTACATGTCGTCGATTGCCAGGTGGCTGCTGTTGAAGCGGTGCTGGCGGATCTGCTGGGCCAAACGCAGCACCTTGTCCTGGTTCACGGCGCGCCCGTACAGCACCCACGTGGACCAGATGGGGTCCCGGAAGGCCTCGGGGGCCGGCACCCTCGACGGCTTGTTGAAATAGCGCCGCACCATGTACTTGTGGATGGAGGTGACGTCTGAGCCGACGCACACGCGGTAGCTGAGCTCCGGCGCCGCGGCGTGGCCGGCGGGCGGCTTGTAAGGCGTGTCGTGGTAGCGCGCCTGCAGCCGCAGCGAGCGCTCGGTGCTGTTCCAGCCCAAATGGAAGGGCACTGAGTCGTTGACCTTGATGGCAGCCGCACGCGACGACAGCCAATAGCGCTCGAGGATGCCTCCGAACGCGGCATTGGAGGAAAAGACGTCACTGGTGACGAAGGGCTGCGGCTCCTGCTGGCCGTCCAGGCGGATGGGCCAGTGCTGCGTCCTCATCTCGGCGCCCCCGTACCAGTGTGCCGCCGCGTCTCCCAGGAACATGGCGTGCTCCACAGCGCGCCCCGGCACCGCCTCCTCCCAGCGCACGCGGTAGCACATGACCGTGTCCTTGGGCCGCACTGTCTGGATGAAGAAGTGCAGAGGGCGCCCGTCGGCCGTGCGCGAGCAGCCGAGCAGGGCGCCGTCGCGGCTGCAGGAGTCGAGGTCCAGCGCGCCCGAGCGGAAGGCCAGGCGGAAGACCTGCTCGCCCTTCTGGTTGCGGATGGAGAAGCCGCCGCGGTTGAGGTCCAGCAGCTCGGTTCGCAGGCGTTCCGCCTTGCGTAGAGAAGCGCTGTAGTAGCACCAGGCCACCACCGCGGCCAACACCAGCAGCAGCCCCAGCACCGCGGAGCCCAGCAGCGGCTTCAGCTCTTTGGACGGCTTGGGCTTGGAAGGCGAGAAATTGTCAGGCACGAAGGTGTACATGGCTGCGGCAGCGACGGCCTCGGGACTTTTACGGCCTGTGTGGCTCCCAGGGCGGCGGCGGGGATAGGCCTGGCTCTTCTCGTCAGGCTTCTGGGGCATCAGCCCCCAGTTAAGGAAGGCGTGGGCAGTGGGGCCACCCGACAAAGCCCATCTGAACCTGGCCTGCCTAAGTCTAGAAGGGGAAGAGAGAGGTGGAACTGAGCTTTCTCATTCCATAGTATTTCCATTTGCTGCAGCAAAAAAAAGAAGAGGTGTATACTTTGGGAAGGTGTATACCAGGACGTAAGAGCTGGGACGTAAGGTCTTGACTCTGACCAGGACAATCTGTCTGTGTCTTACCCTTCCTTTCTCATGGGCCCCAGTGCTTGCCAAAATTAGTCAGGACTCTGAATGGGGAGGGGCAGATGGTATGCATCCTCATTCTCCTGGTGGAGGGACAAACCAGACAGGGCTGGGAGCTGTCCATGATCACAGACTAAGTCAGGCCTCCCTGGATCACACAGGGACGCAGAGCAGGCTGAAGAGAAGGGGAGGCATCTGGAGAGAGCCTGGTTTCCCAAAGATGTGGCCATAGTGGGGGAGGGGGCATAAGCCAGCCAGCTCCTTGAGACCTTTAACAGGGCAGTAGGCTGGCTTGCCTGTCCCCGGAGGGGGAGAGGAGAGAGGAGAGGGGAACAGCTCAGGTAAGGAATGTAATCTTGAATCAGAAGCCCAGTTAAACCTGGAGATTAGAGAAGATACACAAAGCCAGACTCAGTCCTATAGCCTGGTTTGGAGGCAGGCAGGGTCGGGTTGGACGTAAGGGCTGGGGTCAGGAGCCTAGCATGGGGGCTATGGTGGCTTCTCAGATCCCCCCCTTTGCCCTCAAACTCCACCCTGTTCTCAGCTACCGATCTCCAGGTCCATCTCCCTGCCCACCTTCCTGCTCTGCTCCCTGCAGCACATCTGTGGGCCAGCCACCTCCTGGCTTTCCTCAACCACTTGCCCACTGTCCTGCTGCTCCTGCTCTCGCTTGGGCACTGCCATTTCTCTGAATTACTGCAACACTTCCCATAGGCCTCCCTACTCCCAACTTCTTTCCCCTCAATGCCTTCTGCTCACAGCAGCCATAGTGATCTCTCTAAAGTACTTAACAGACTACCAGAGGGCAGCTCATGACCCCCATAAGGAAGTGCAGAAGTGTCAGCTTTGCAATTGAAGCCCAAAACATGGTGTGGTCTTTGTTTTTGTTTTGTTTTCTTTTGGTGAGGAAGATTCACCCTGAGCTAACATCTGTTGCCAATCTTCCTCTTTTTGCTTGAGGAAGATTAGCCCTGAGCTAACATCTGTGCCAGTCTTCCTCTATTTTGTATGTGGGTCACAGCCGTAGCATCGCCACTGATGAGTGGTGTAGGTCTGCGCCCAGGAACTGAACCTGGGCTGCCAAAGCAGAGTGCACTGAACTTAACCACTAGGCCACGGGGCCGGCCCCAGCATGATGTGATCTTATCTGCCTTTCTGATTCCATTTCCAGCCAAGCCTATCCTGTGACTACCAGCTCATTCCTTCTTCAACCTAAATCCTTCAGGCCACCTGCTTTAGGAGATTTCATCCACCCCTCTTGGGCCAGCGTCTCTCCCTCACCTACCAGCTCTCCAGGGATGAGAACCCCCTCCCCCACTACACACATACACTCTCACACACTGTAGGGTAAACATCCAGATATGACTGCAGGGAAACATAGACCTGGGGGGAGGTGTGTGTGTGTGTCCCAATCTGCTGCTCGAGGCCACTGATCCTTCCTCTCTCAGCCCTCAGGGCAGGGTCCAGTAAGGAAATAGCACGAGCCAGGTGCACACACACAGACATACTCACTGCCAGCCAGCTGGCTGCCCACCTGCTCCAGCTGAGGGGAAGGAGACAGGGAGACTGGCAAACAGTAATTAGCCTCCTCCCAGATGCCAGCGTCTAGTCTCTAAGTCCCCAGTGACTTCCTAGGAGATGCCAGAACTGCTCAGGGTTCCCCTCCCCTACCTTTCCCACGAAGAGACTATCAAGAATGCCAGACACAGATTGGAATTTTGATCCCAGGTGTCAGTATACAGCTCCCCACAATGCCCTCCCACCGCCACCAGGGAGGTGCTATCTCAGTGCCTCATTCTCTGTGCTCCCTCTCCCCGACTCCCTAAGCTGGTCAGTTCCAGCTGGTCTGGAACAGCCTCTTATTCCCCTCCCAGCCCACCCAACTTAGCTTTCAGAACTCCCCCACCCCACAGTGGACTCCCCTTCCTGTAGGTACAGGTTAGAAAAGTCCTCCTGGAAAATGCAGGCAGTGGCCTTTAGCTGATGCTCTCAAGCGAGGCAGAACCCAAAAAGGCCTCAGGTGGCCTAGGCCAGACCTGCTGTACATTAATAGTCATCATTCGACACAACCAAGGCCCCAGTCTGGGCACTAAGGGAATAGGGGAAAGGCTTCATATCGGAATCAGACAGAGGCCCCTCATCCTCAAAACTTACATACTAAGTCAGCCCATCTCATGACCCCTGGAGGCTTGGAGA